AAAACTCCTCCGCCAGCGCCGGGAACGCACGCTGCCGCCGTGCTAAGAATATTGATCGTCTGTCAAGCAGTAAGCGCAGAGAGAGACAAAGAGAGACAGAGAGAGAGAGAGAAAGAGCGGGTGCGTGGTCGGGGAGAACAAATGAACAGGCGTGCGTGTCGTCGGGAGAGAGAGACACACCGAGCGTGTTAATCACAAATTTCGTCCGGCGGCTGCTCGAAAGATTGTACCCGCTCGGCTCTCTCTCTCTCTCTCTCTGTCTCTCTCTCTCCTGCCCCGCAAAGATGAACACGGGCAGACAAACGCCGTCAGCGGCACTTTCTGCTTTCTGCGCCTTCCTTCCCTCACCGGAGAGACCTTCCAGGCCATGTCGGTCGGAAAGACGTTCCCCGCCACGGAGACCGGGAGAGGGGCAGTTCCGCCCTTCTCGTGGAGCTCCATGATGAGTAAATAATACAGGCGGGTTGTGGAGAAGAAGTATATTCAATGCTTGGTTGGGGTCTCGCGAGAGAGGGGTTGTGACCGAGAGAGACAAGCCAAGCAGATTAGCAGGTGTCCTGTTTGGCAGTTGTTCTGAACAAAGTCAAAAGAAAAAAGAGGCCGCTTCGAAAGGAAGGACACGAGCGGCCAGCAGGTGATATTTGATGGATCGGGTCAAGTTTTCGAGATTTCGAGTCAGCTGCTGGGGTGAAAGATACCAGCCGGGCCAATAACGCGTCAAAAACAAAGAGTGCGAGGAAGTTTTCGGCAGTCAGCCCGTGAGAAACAGGCCAGGTACTCGTCCAAGCTAGGGGGCTACCCATATGCTCGTGATAGCTTGCTGCTGCATTGGCGAAAGCACGAGATTTCTCGAAGGCATGCATGATAATATCTCGTAGATCTCGTCGATCTGATGGGCGTCGGAGTGTCCGCAGTCCGCAGGTGTGCGGTGTGTTTTTTTCGACTCTTTGCCTGCAGAGCCGTTGAATGTGGAGATAGCCTACTATGTCTATGGTCATGAAGACTTTTCGCTTCATGTGGTGGAACTCCGCAATCGTAGAGTCTGTATCAGGTCATACCGCCGTGTCTAGTATACATTAGTCTCCTTGCGGCAGTCGGGGGCCAAGAACGAACACATACACACAGAAATTGACGTCGTTTAATTGGTCAGCCGGTTAGCGCGGTCGATGCTAAAAATAAAAACATGAATACGTTTGATTGATGAGAAGAGAAGAGAGACATCCAAACAAAAGATGCGTACATGAATTCTGCGATCATGAGGACAAGACTTGCCGCTGGTGGGCACGGAATGTTCGTAGGTTGTGTTGTTGTTGGAGTTGGGATCTTGTTGAGGTTTTCCCTTTCTCGACAAAGGAAGAGAAGGTTCGGATGTTGTTGGCGTCCGTGGCGTTTTCGTCGCACGCCGCGCATCCCCCTCATCATCATCAGATTTCCCCGAGCAAGGAATACGGCATACACCACCGATCGGTTTGTTGGCGCCTATTTATTTGATTCTTATTATGGCGGCGGTATAAGACCACCTACGGTAATACTACCCGTCTCGAAGCCGGGTGAGCACACCGAGTACTCCAGAGTGTGGAGTATAGATAGAGCAAAAACTTCGCTCCACAACCGATGCAGCAACTACTAGATAGACCACTGCTCGCTGCCGCTGCTGCTGCTGCTGCTGCTGTACGCACGTGCGTACCACGTAGTCTACCGAGCTTACCGTGCTGTTTTTTTTCCACGTGATGGGTCTACGGCGCCTTCCGAGAACGTGTGCCCGAGGTTGAGTTTGATTGAGCGTTACCGAACCAAATAAGCTCTGAAAATATGGTTATAGCCACCTCTACCCGCATAGAAATGATTCTGCCTTGGTTGGGATGGATGAGTTTCAGCGATTCCAATATATTTGTATGAATTAAAGAGTTAGGGGTGTACGCTATGAAAGGGGGGGGTAAAAATTTGCGTGACAACCAACCTCCTTCCATTGTTCCCTTGGCTCAGAAGGTCCACATGGGTGCTATAGGTCCAGGGGTGAAGAAGAGAGGAGCGGTGGATTTGTTCACATAATAATAAGTAAGCGGAACCCGCGCGAATCAAACGGCGTTTGTTTGCGGATGGAGATCGTGTCGGATGACCACGGAAGCGATGTTCTCTGCATGTATTTCGACCAAGCGGGGTGCATTCCAGTGAGTGCGATTGTAGAATTGAATCGTGTTTCTTGGCGCTCGACTGGGTTTCACGGCCCAAGAAATGTTCAAAAAAAAAGTGGCGAAAAGTATTCTTTTTTCTCCTGCTATCTTGCGGAAATGGATTCCTATGTGGTATTTATATTATTATTATTATTATTATTATTATTATTATTATTATTATTATTATTATTATTATTATTATTATTATTATTATTATTATTATTATTATTATTATTATTATTATTATTATTATTATTATTATTACCCTCCGACAATTGAAGAAGTTAGCACTAAAGTCCTAAAACGTTTTACTCAATGTATACCCCTTACTATTTCTATCTTCATGCTCATACTTGTACGAATACGATATTACATGCACGTCATGTAGTAGTACGTACCTACAAAATTGAATGCCGAACTTAAAACTGAAGGAAATCATAACATCATTGATTGAATTCAACATTATTTCCTCCGTTCTCCTGTTACTTCCTATGTGAAAATGCCAAACAAAACCTTGTCTCTCCAACACTCTGACAAGAAGTTCCTGTCGTTGAACCGAAATCTTTTGAACATAATCTACTACTTAAACGACATTTCTTTTAGTATATATATGTGATGTACCTACTACCAAATGCTTTGTAACAACTATTATACCTACGCGCATAAGATAATCCATTACATACATTCCTACTATTACAGTGCATCGACACTACATCCCCAAATCATTGGTGTCGATCCGATGTGTTCGGTGTCGATCTTGCTCGTTGGTCCTCCGCTTCTTGTCGTCCACGTACGGTTGGTTACCCTAAAACCAGTTTTCCTTATTTTCCGACAGAACTCAATCCGCAAAAGCCCCCGGCACACGATCTCGGAAGGCGCCCTTACGCAGTAGTAGTACTACGGTCTGCAAGATACGTATATATATAGTAGGTTGTTGTTGTTGTTATTGTTGTTGTTGTTTCTCACATCAGCTCTATCTATATATAGTCTAGTCTAGTCCACAAAAAATGGGGAGCCCGTGGTCTCAAAACCCGGCACATACGACGCCGCGGGGAAACAAAACAAAAATAGGGTACAAACCACTCGAAAAATGAAAACAAAATGATAGAAAGGAAAGAACAGGTACCGCACCGACCGTTCGAGAAAAGAGCTCTTCGGAAACCGAAAAGAAGAACAGTTCCATGAGGGAGCCACCGACAACACACCCGACAAACCAACAACCCAGCACATTCCTTCCGTACATTCCCAGCATAACATCCAGATAGATGCACAAAACGGCTACCACACTGTCTTGTTGACCCTGTCACCCACGGGGGAGTTGTCACTGTATGCTGCTCGGGAAATCATGGAAACACAGGTAGCCTTCACTGACTGACGCTCGCTATAATCTGTCTTGGACTCTTTGTGTCATATTATTGGTGAGGAGGACCCGATTCGCAGGGTATCCGTCGATTGACTTTTACCTGAATGAATCGGTACACCTTCGCATCAGTCTAAGCAAAAAAAAAATAGTAATAATTATAAGTAAACATAATAATGATAATAATAATATTAAAAAAGGAGGACGCTTCCCACACCCGCCTAACAAAAGAAAAAAACAAAGGGTAACGTACCAGCACCAGGCACTACGCACCAGGGCATGCGAGTAAAGGAGCAAACAAGACAAAGAGGCGGCAGATGGGCAGACAGCCAGATGTTCAACAACAAAAGCAACAGCAAACAAAGCGAGATCAAGGTACCCAACACAGCAGACAGAGTAGTCTAGACTAGGCAGGGAGGACATGAAAAAAAAGAAACGCAGCACAGAGGCCGAAGGCAATACAAATAAATAGCATACATAAAAGAGTATAGCATACATACGGTAGGGAGGGAAACAGGGCGCAACATCATCAGCCGGGTACATAGTTCGCCACAACGGCTGCCTCGGCCGCCCTACTCCCTTCTTCTACAGCAGTGCCCGGTCGCCGTTTTCCCCCCCACCGCCGCTTCCCCGACTCTCGTTCTCTTCGGTCCTGAGATGGCCGTACTCTCTGCATCTGCTTCCCTCGCGCGTTGGCGCTTCGCGGACGCTTCCGCCTCCTGCCTGTGCCATTATCTCATGAGCCATGCCGCCCCGTCCTCGACCTTGTTGTACCACACCTCCGGGTCCTTGGCGCTCTCTTTCCACTTCCCGCCTTCCTTTTCGTCTCCCATGTCGTCGAAGGCCACGAGGTCCTCTCCAAGACGAGACACCCAGTCGCTCTCCTGCCCGCCCCGGTATCCCTCGCCCCCCGCCATCGCTCCTGACAACAGCATGCATGCGCTTGGGGAGGCGGTTGTCATCCATGCGCATAACAAAGCCCGCGAAACACAGTCTCAGTTTGCGCACGGTGGCGTCGATGGTTTCATCGCAACCTGCGTAGATGAGGGCCTGGGCACAGGACAGGGGGGCGGTCTGATTTGTCCGCTTGCTCCAGCCGATGCACCCTGTAAGGAACTGACGTTGGGTCCCATTGAGCTTCGTGTAGTGCTCCGCTGTTAGGCTCCACGAGGCGCACCCATATAGGAGAGTCTCCACCACTTCAGTAGCCGGACCTTGAGCTGGCGGTCGGCCCGTCGCCTGTTGTATATCGAAGCACTGTTGTTCCGGCGGTAGCACTACTAGCACTTCCACGCTCGGCAGCCGTGGCTCGTGATCTCCCGGTCGGCCTTCCTGTCCATGGAGATGGTACGTCCGAGGTACACAAACCGATATGTCTGCTTGTGCGTCTGGCCGGCGGCGCTGACCGTGAACGGGCGTTCCTCGATCCCTTTCGGCAGCATGCACATGAATAATAATGATCTAGTCTAGGTCTTTGGCTCCGATACCATCAGTCCGAACAGGCCGGCCACGCGCACGATGACCGACATCATCTTCTCGAGACTCTCCGGCGAGCTCGAGATGATGGCCGCGTCGTCAACGTAGAGCATGGCCCACAGGGCCTCCGAGTCCGTCACCACCATCATTGTCTTCTTCTCCGCCGACCTGCCCTTCTTGCCCGTGTACTCCACTTGTTTCCCGATCTTGACCATTTCCGCCGTCACCTTGGGGTCCTTGTCGAACTCGCCCACGGCGACCATGAGTATCGCGGCAAAGAACATGTTGAACAGCAGCGGGGCCAGGTTGCATCCCTGTCGGAGGCCTTGGCCCACGTCGAACCATTCCGAGTACTGCCCGTCGTCCGTTCGGACGCGCGCCCTCATGCCCTCGTGGAAGTGGCGAATGACCGCCAGCATCTTCGGNATGTGGAAGTGGCGAATGAACACCAGCATCTATCTATCTTCGGGGGCACGCCGAAGCGTCGGAGCACGTCCCACAGTAGTAGTAGTAGGTCTCGGTCCACCGAATCGTATGCCTTGGTGAGGTCGACGAAGCACGCGAACACCGCAG